CCTACTGTCTGTGTCCATAGGTTATGCTTATATGCATGCGTACAAGTCTTTTGGTTGATTTCTCCCCCCCCCTCCCTGCCTACCCTCTGAGGTTGGATGGTCTGTTTGATGCTTCCTATGTCTCTTGATCTATTTTTGTTCATCAGTTTATGTTGTTCATTATATTCCACAAATGAGTGAGATCAAGTGATATATATCTTTCTCCGACTGGCTTATTTCACTTAGCATAATGCTCTCTAGGTCCATCCATGCTGTTATAAATGTTAAGAGTTCTTTCTTTTTCTTACAGCAGCATAGTATTCCATTGTGTAGATGTACCATAGTTTTCTAATCCATTCATCTGCTGATGGGCACTTAGGCTGTTTCCAAATCTTAGCTATGGTAAATTGTGCTGCTATGAACATAGGAGTGCATATATCCTTCCTTGTGGATTTTTCTGATTTCTTGGGATATATTCCTAGAAGTGGGATTACTGGATCAAATGGAAGTTCCATTTTTACTTTTTTGATGAAACCCCATACTGTTTTTCATAGTGGCTGCACCAGTCTGCATTCCCACCAGCAATGCACGAGGGTTCATACCATCATAGTAGGGGTCTTTAATACTTCATTGACACCACTGTATAAATCCTCTAAACAAAAAATCAGCAAAGAAACAGCAATCCTAAATGACTCATTAGATCAGATGGAATTAATTGACATCTTCTGAACATTTCACCCCAAAGCTGCAGAATATATATTCTTCTCAAGTGTACACGGAACATTTTCAAAGATAGAACACATATTGGGACACAGGCAGAAGATAGAAATCATATCAAGCATCTTCTCAGATCACAATGGCATAAAATTAGAAATCAACTACAATTAAAACAGTGAAAAAAATCAAACACTTGGAGGCTAAATAGCATGCTATTAAATAATGAATGGGTTACCAAAGAGATCAAAGAAGAAATAAAAAGCATCCTGGAAACAAATGACAATGAAAACACAACAATCTAAAATCTATGGGACACAGTGAAAACAGTCTTGAGAGGGAAGTTCATAGCTCTACAGGCCTAACTCAAAAAACAAAAACGTAATAAATTATCTAACCCTACAAGTCAAAGAATTAGAAAGAGAGCAACAAGAAAAACTCAGAGTAAGTAGAAGGAAGGAAATAATAAATATCAGAGTGCAAATAAATGACATAGAGACAAAAAAAAAATACAAAGATCAATAAAATCAAGAGCTAGTTCTTTGAACAGATAAACAAGATTGATGAACCTCTAGCCAGGCTTACCAAGAAACAAAGAGAGAGGACCCAAATAAATAAAATCAGAAATGAAAGAGGCTAAATAACAACAGATCTCACAGAAATACAAAGGATTGTAAAAAAAATACTATGAAGAACTCTACTCCAACAAATTGGACAACCTAGATGAAATAGACATATTTCTAGAAAAATACAATCTTCCAAAACTCAATCAGGTTGAATAAAAAAACCTGAATAGGCCGATAACTACCTATGAAATTGAAGCAGTAATCAAAAACCTTCCAGCAAATAAAAGCCCTGGTCCAGATGGCTTCACAGCGGAGTTTTACTAAACGGTCAAAGAAGAACTAAAACCTATCCTCCTCAGGCTATTCCAAAAAATTCCAGAGAAAGGCACACTTCCATGCTCTTTGTATGAATTTCTAATAAGTTTCTGGAAAATGCTGATGCTGCTGCTCCTGCCATGGACCAGATTTGAGTTGCAGTTATTCAGAATTAACTCACCTCTCTTTTGTCATCGTTTTCCTGTGGTAACCAGCAAAGGATCATGTTTAGTCACACAATAACTAAAATAGTATTTTGGAGGGGAGGGGTTACATTTTATAGAAGCCGTTTAAAGGCTATAAAGTATACTTATCTATGTACCTTCTATATACAGGGTGGGGTAAAAGTGGGCTTACAGTTGTTTGTATGGAAAATAAAACAAGAATAAACTCTGTTTCACCTACTTGCAACTATAATCCTACTTTTGCCCCACCCTGTATATATGTGATCGAGGTGATGTAGTAAACAGCATTGGGGATGCATAGCCCAGAAATCAAGTTCCTTAAAACAGAAAGAAATCTTGATTAACAAAAATTTGTAAAACGTTATTAGTACTACTTTGACCGCTGTTGAGAATTTTGAAATTTAGAACAATATGATTTGGGATTTGGAAACAGTGTTTCAGCAAAAGTGAATCTATGTATTACTGAACACCTTTTTTATTTTTGCTTTTCTAGATCTAATTACTTGTTTAGACACTGCATCCAGCTTTTTGGAACCTGAGTTCAGGTATGACCATATTTGTGCCCTTTTTTCCCCCTTAAATTTACCTTTATCAACTTCATCCTCATTCTTTATACACTTAAGATTAATGTACATTGTGACATAGACATTGTTCTAAGACCTCACTCAATAAACCAGAGTTTATTTAAAGCCATTGAGTTACCATGTTTACATTTTTCATTAATTGTAGCATTTGGATCCTCTCCACAATGAAAATGTAATTGTAATATACTTTCAAAGTAAAACTAGTTGCTCTTCAAAATCTGGCAAAACTGCTAATAAAAGTAGAAGAGTTATCTATATATATAAAAGCCTCAGTGACCGTTATGTCCGAACGACCGGTCAACCAGTTGTTATGGCACGCACTGACCACCAGGGGGCAGAGGCTCAACCCAGGCACTGCTCCCTGGTGGTCAGTGCGCTCCCACAGCCAACCTTCCATGGCCAGCCAACTTCCCCAGTCCCTCCCCCGGCTGGCAAACCTTCTGCGGTCCCTCCCTCTGTCCCTCTGGCCCCGTCCCTCTGGCCCTGGCCAGCAGCCGGCAGGCCCCGGCCGGCACGACCCAAATCAGGACTGGGCGAGACGGCCCCGATAGGCCCTGATCACCAGCCAGGCCTAGGGTCCCCACCCATGCATGAATTTCATGCACTGGACCTCTAGTTTATATATATAAAACCCTATATGACTGGTCGCTATGATGCGCACTGTGGGGGGCAGGCTGGCTGGCCAACCTCCCGTGGGTCCAGCTGGACCCCACCCATGCACAAATTCGTGCACCAGGCCTCTAGTCCTCCTATATAATAAAAGGGTAAAATGCAAATTGACCCTAACGGTGGAATGACTGGTCGCTATGACACACACTGACCACAAGGGGGCAAATGCTCAATGCAGGAGCTGCCCCCTGGTGTTCAGTGTGCTTCCACAGGAGGAGCGCCGCTCAGCCAGAAGCTGGCTCTTGGGTGGCCAGCACAGCGGCGGTGTCAGGAGCCTCTCCTGCCTCTGCAGCAGTGCTAAGCCGTTAGTTAGACATTGCCCGAGGACTCCCGGGCTGCCAGATTGATGTCTGTCTGACTGACAGCTTAGGCCCAATCTCCCAGGGAGTGGGCCTAAGCCATCAGTCGGACATCCCCTGAGGGGTCCTGAACTGCGAGAGGGTGCAGGCCGGGCTGAGGGACTTCCCCCCCCCCCTCCCCCTGAAGTGCACGAATTTTCATGCACCGGGCCTTTAGTCTCTTCTATAAAAGGACAAGAAAATGGTTTAGGCTATTATGGAATTTCAGTGTTCTTACCCAAGTAGCATTTCTACTACAATTTCCGTGCTTTATGCCCTCATTCCATGCTTCAACTAGAATGAACCTCTAATTGACTTTTCCTTTCATTTCTAACCTTTGCTGGCCTTATGCTGCTATTGAGGTTGCTGCCAAGTTATTTTCTAAAGTACATATCTCATCATTCCCCAGCTTACAAATCTCCAGGTGCTCCTAATTAAGACAAAAGTTATCCAGATTCCTTAGCTTGGTGTTCAGGATCCTGGCCCAGGGTCTTGCCATTTTTCTAATCTCGTCTCATGCATTCATGTTGAAATAGCTGTGGATCGCTTACACTGCTCTGAACTCTCAGAACTTTGGCCTGGGATCCCTTTACTCCTCTCTACTTGGCAAAGTCATTCTCATCTTCTGAGACCATCTCACTAACCTCCCTGCAACTCACTGCCTCTTCACAAAGAACCTTTGCTTTGTCTTCAGAAATGGTTCTGTCTCCATGGGATGGGTCGCTCTTCAGCACTTGTGGGGGATCCTGGTCTGCAGAGTTAGCTCTGGCATCAGTGTATGGCACACAGCCTGGTAGAGGGTATGCTGTCTTGTGCCCTCCACTCTCTAGCTTCATTGTCACTGCCCAAATGCGAGCTGCCATCCTCTCTCCCCTGGACTACTGCACTGTCTGCCTAACTGTCCCAGTGTCCCCTCATGGTTCCTTCCTAGTGGCCACAGTACTCTCCTAAAAATATGAACCAGATTATGTACAGATACTGTCAAAAGCCTTTACTGACGTTCTGTTTTTACTTAGAATTGTATTCCAGACTCCTCACCATAGCCCACAAGGCCTCTGCATGATCTGGCCTCTGCCCCCACTTTAGCCTCCTCTCACACCAACTCCCTTCCTGCACTGGTCATCCTCAGTTCCCCGCACACAGTTCCCTGCCTCAAGGGCATGCAGTGCTATTGATGGGGATGTGTTACACTTCTACAGAGCCCATTCCCCGACGCCCTGACCCAGGCAGTGCAGAGCCTGTTGTGAGCAGACCCTGGAGGCATCTGCCACTTACCAGCCACGTGACCCAACAGTTCCTCAGTGTCCTCATCTGTAAAATGAGGATAATAATAGTACCTACCACGTAGGGTTCTTACGTGGATTACTGGAAGCACTTAGAATGCTGTCTAGCACATCGTAAGTCTATTCCAAATGTGTATTACTTTTATTAAGTTAGATTCCTCCCAGTTACTTCATAGAATTCCTTTTCTTCATAGCCGAATCATAATCTAATTAACTATCTGTGTGTCAGTTTAATGTCTTCCCCACCACTGGAAGGTAAACGCATTGAGGACAGGAGCCATGTTTGTTTGGTTGAGATTTGTAAACCCTGTGTGTCACACAGCCCAGCACTTAGACATTCAAGTGCATAGGTGGGTGAGTGAGTTCGTGAATGTATGAGTGAATGAAAGAATACAAAACATTTTTTTAGATCAACATAAATTTGATCAATAGGGGATGGGTAAAATAAATATGGTTTATCCACAAAATAGAATATCATGTAGCTATTAAATATGGTGAATAGATTTTACAGTAGAAATATGTCTGTATTCATTGTGAAATGAAATGATCAAAGCTGTTTGTAAATAAGAGACAATTGTTGTAAATTTGTGGGTAAAGATGTGTGTGGGCAGATCGGAGAAAGTCTGAAAGGGTTTTTAGGAGTGCTGGTTCTCAGGGTGGTGAGATGGTGATGATGATATTCACATTGAACTGAAAAAATGGATATGTGATGCTTTTGGTCTTTTCCCCAAAAAAACACAGTAGTATATGCCCTTTAACTTGTTTTTATTTCATAGTAAGTACTGTCCAGCTGGTTGTCTCCTTCCTTTTGCTGAGATATCTGGAACAGTCCCTCATGGATATAGAGATGTAAGTTGCCTGTAGACTATGTTAAAGTTGTGATAGGACTTTATGTTTTTAAATTTCAGAATAGGTAAATGTGTACATATTGCACATCTTTGTTGTGATATTTTTCTAGGAATTGTTTGTTTTTGGAAATATGTAATGTTTTATTATTTTTCTTCTAAAAAATGTATGTTATGGCATCAATATCTGTCCCATGTTTATTGAGGAAACTGCCCAGATAAACTAATTTCTTGAAGTGTAAGTCTTATTTATGAATTATCAAAAGAAAAGAAAAAAACTGACTTTTTTTCCCCTTTCTCAAGTCCTCGCCATTGTGCATGGCTGGTGTGCATGCAGGAGTGGTGTCAAACACCCTGGGTGGCCAGATCAGTGTTGTAATTAGTAAAGGTATCCCGTACTACGAAAGTTCTTTGGCTAACAACGTCACGTCTGTGGTGTAAGTATACATGCTGTTTATAATAAGCAGGCTGGGCAGGGGCGGGATGGGGACTGGTAAGGCCTCGGCAATGTAACAGTTAGTGGTGTTCAGGAAATACCATTTGTGCACTTAGCTCTTACATTTTTGTGTGCTCGGTGTCTGCATGTACTGAGGAGGACAGGCAAGGTTGTACTACTTGGCTTGTTCTCTGTCCAAAGGTAGTCATTTGCAAGCTTGATTGGTTTGTTTCTTCTTTTCTAAGTGTTGAAAAAGCGTAGAATAAGAGTCTAGAAGTATTTTGTTGAATCCATACTTGATGTTAAAGACCAGAACACATAACTACTGTGTTCCTTATAGCCTGTGTGACCCAGGATGAACTGAGAATAATTGAAACACTTTGATGTGAATTAAATTTTGACATTAATCAGAATTGGTAGTATTATGAATCTCCCTCTCATCCTCAGAGAATATATTCAGAATGTATTTTCATGGTTCCCATGACATTCCACTATTTTACAAAACTTAGACTAGGCATAAATAAGCAGAAGTTCAGACATTAGATAGAAATCCAGTACTCCGCATCTGTGTCTGTGAATCTTGCCTCTTGGGTATGCTCAGTCCTACACACAGTACTGAGTCTGTCTGAAACAGCTTCTCTTCAGAGGCCCTGGGCCAGTTTCCATCAGAAGACAGGAGTGGACCACACCCTCAGCTGTAGAAAGCAGGAGTCAGCAGATTTTTTTCTGTAAAGGACCAGCTAGCAAATATTTTAGGCCTTTCTGGGGCACATGGCTCTGTCACTTTTCCCTTTTTTGTTTCATTTACAACCCTCTAACCACGTAAAAATGATGCTTTGCTCGCAGGCCACACAGAACAAGCCATGCCAGGGCTATATACCCATCACTAGTATGCAGTCAGCTTCCTTTCTTTCTTTTGGTTTCTTCTAGATGCTTTTATGAAGATTCTTTCTTTCCCATGGTCTATCTTTGGACAGAGTTTTTTATGAATTCTCTTTCTCATCTATACTAATAAAAGGGTAATATGCTAATTAGACCAGATTGACCAGAAATCTTCTGGACGTCCGACTTCCTTCCAGACAGTTAGGGGGGAAATTAGGGGGTAACCAGGCCAGCAGGGGGCATTTAGGGGGCAAACAGGCCAGCAGAGGACCAGCTAGGGGGCAACCAGGCCAGCAGGGTACCAGTTAGGGGGCGATCAGGTCGGCAAGCAGAGGCAGTTAGGGGTGATCAAGCAGGCAGGCAGGCAAGCGGTTAGGAGCCAGCAGTCCTGGACTGAGAGAGGGATGTCCAACTGCCGTTTTAGGCCCCATCCCACAGGAATCCCGGATTGGAGAGGGTGCAGGCCGGGCTGAGGGACCCCACCTTCCTGTGCACGAATTTCACGCACTGGGCCTCTAGTACTTAAATAAGGACAAGTTGCATCCACTTGTCATGACCTGGATGTTATGCTCAAGGCAGGAGCCTCAATCTTTGAAATCGAAGTGCAGTGCTACCCTGCAACACCATAACTTGTTCTAGACATGCTGATGCCCTGTAACAAATGCAGTCTCTCTCAGCAGACTTACCACTTTCAGTGCACCTTCACCAGCAGCAGTTGCCATAGGAAAGTCTTAGGAGTCTATTTCATGAAAAAGAGATAAAAGAGAAATATATACTCAAAATAAAAGAGAAATGTGTTACGAGAGCACATTTGCACAATCATATGAAACTAGGAACTAGATACTTGATACTTGTAGAGACAGTTATTTATGCTGATGTCAGAAGTTCTGCTTAGAAAATAGACTTTTAATTTTAACTAGGAGAATATATAGCCAGAGAATACTCTTAGTTCTTTATACATTAAACACAAAAAGGTTTACTAAGACAAATATGGGGAACTCATGTGTTATGTGATATGTCACACAAAAAATACTTTCTCTCTTTCAGGGGACACTTATCTACAAGTCTTTTCACATTCAAGACGAGTGGTAAGCCTTTCATGGACTTTATAACTTACTATAATTTTTATAACACTGGATGCCAGACATTGTGCTAGTTGCTGTTTGTTGTACTTTCTTATTTAGTTGCCACAATAACACCTATTAGGTTAGAGGGGCATTTAATAAAATAATGAATGAAATAAGTGAAGTTCTATGTTAATAGGAAAATGATCATGGAAGCAAGGAATTTTTTTCTAGAAAAGGTGATTTTTTAACTTGTTTGAAAAAGTAATTCATTCATTTGACTGAAAATATGTGAGTGCCTTCCTTTATTCGTCAGGGACTGTTCTGGTCTAGGAAGACAACAGTGAGCATAATCAACAAAATTTTGCTTTCCTGGAGCTTAAGTTCTGGTAGCGAGAGATTGACAATAAATAGTGAATAAGTCAGTTATTATTTATGTATTGTTTATAATATTATAAAATATGTAGAAAATGAAGGAGGAGGGCTAGGCAATGCAGGAGGTACTGATGGGATCAGGACAAGCCTCAGGGAGAATGGAACATTTGAGCAAACACCTGAAGGAGTGTGAGTCACCCATTGACCTGGGAGCTTGTTCTGGGGAGAGGGTAACATATCACCATTAAACTAATGATTGCTCAGAAATAAATATACACAGTTCCTGACAAGACACAAAACACAGACCCAAAAAACATGTGCCTAGTTTTGGAATTTTTCTATTACAGTGTAGTATTTGCTTTAGTGTGTACAGGTACAATAGAGTTTGCAGTGAGCAAGTTTTTATAGATTTTAAGTTTATAGCTGGAAACAGTGACTTTCTTTTTTGTTTCAGGTTGTTATGGAACTCTGGGCATGGAGTCTGGTGTGATTGCCGATCCTCAGATAACAGCTTCATCTGTGCTGGAGTGGACGGACCACACAGGGCAGGAGAACAGCTGGAGACCCGAAAAGGCCAGGCTGAAGAAACCGGGGCCTCCCTGGGCTGCCTTTGCCACTGATGAGTATCAGTGGTTACAGATAGATCTCAACAAGGAAAAGAAGATAACAGGTTAAGAGATGTAATTTTTTAGAAAAATTTATGATTTTTTTTTAGAACAGCTTATGATTTTATTTTAAAACCTGGTGACATCTAAGATTTTTATAGAAACTTAAGTCACTGCAAATTTAATTATGTGGTTTTAAGTTTTTTTTACTGGTGTTAGTGTTACTAAAGATGGTTTTATAAAAAGCATGACAGAGGAGAGGAGTTGGTATTTGAGTCTTATTAGCTTTTCTTATTGTAATAAGATTCTTTTAAGGTAGTGTTTCAGTAAAGGAATCTGGAGACATCTGAAATAGCCATCTATTATAGTCATTAAAAGAAATTTATGTTCAAGGAGTGTACTCTAAGTGCTATAAATAATATTCCACATGTGCTGAGTATGAATTTAATTATTTAGAGCAATTTAGCAAGTGATCAGCATAATTGGTTGGGATTGGTTTTGTTAAAGATTTATTTTGCTTTGGTACCGAAAATAATACTAGTAATCATCTTTAATCTGTTCATTCCTAGGAAGTCATTTTTATTCCATAGGTGCAATATATTTTACAATGATATGAACACGGGCTGCTAAAATAGAATGGTTCTTTCCTTATGTGTGCTCATAATTCTCCCAGCCTCTACAAGGGAACAAAGCCCAGGATTTCGGTACTATTTAATGAAACCTTGCACTTAGATGTGGTAATGTGTCATGGGCAAAGATGTTTGAACAGTGTTTATGTTTCAGTGGTGAACAGACTTCAAAGACCAGACCATGTGCATTAATGAAAGCAACTCTCCATTCCTCAGGCATTGTGACCACTGGCTCCACCATGGTGGAGCATAACTACTATGTGTCAGCCTACCGAATTCTATACAGTGATGATGGGCAGAGGTGGACTGTGTACAGAGAGCCTGGTGTGGAGCAGGATAAGGTAAAATGATTAACAAGGTATTTTTAAAAACATTTTTTTAAATGAACCTTTGCCAAAAGTCACAGGAGCTCCTGTGTGATCTAAAAGTTAAATATCGTTTGATCTTACTCTGCCCTCTTCTGGCCATTTTAGCATGGTTAGGAAATTCTCAGTGGTTCTAGGTCACTTTTGATGATTGTGAGGGTTAAATAATTTATTGATTCTTTTTTCACTACATTTTAATTCAATTTTTAGATACTTTATTAGGAAATTCTAAAAGGGAACTTATAATTTCTTGTCTTTAAAAAGCTTTTCATTTCAATACACAGAATGTTGGAAAAGCCTAATTTGTTTCCAGATTTCTACTGTGGTACATAAATTAATAAACATGACAGTGCTGAAACGTGCTAGACCAGCTAAAGGGATTGGTTGAGAAGGGTTGAGAGTAGGCACAGGTGACTCCCATCTAGATGTTTATCACTTTCACCTGGCTCCTGGCCCTTGCTCCACCACAAGGATCTTGTAATTACAAGAGTCCATGTCCCAGGGAAGGTAGAGTCCTCTTATCTAGAATTGATAGATGAGCACATATTTTTAACAAGTTTTGATAGTTACATGATATTATCAGTTCTCTGTGTTTTGTTTTAGTTACATGATACTATCAGTTCTCTATCAGAAATATGATACTAGAGGCCCAGTGCACAAAATTCATGCATGGGTGGGGTCCCTAGGCCTGGCCAGTGATCAGGACCTACTGGGGCTGTCTTGCCCAGTCCCGATTGGGTCTGGGCTGGCCGGGGCCTCCTGCCGGCTGCTGGCCAGGGCCTCCTGCTGCCTGCCAGACAGGGCCTGCTGGGGGCAGGGGGCGCTGGAGGTTTGCGGGACAGGGGGAGGCACCAGGGGAGGTTGGCTGGCCGTGGGAGGTTGGCTGTGGGAGTGCACTGACCACCAGGAGGCAGCTCCTGTGTTGAGCGTCTGCCCCCTGGTGGTCAGTGCACATCATAGCTACTGGTCTTAATGGTCGTTTAGGCTTTTATATAGAGAGATATTAAGGTATCTTCATTTACCACTTTTCTCATCTGTTCAAAAACTGCAGGGGCTTCCTATAGTCTTTCATATGGATCTAAACTCTTCTGCTGTTATTCAAGGCCTTCTTTCCTCTCTCCTACTTGGTATCACATGAACTTCATATTTGGTGAGCCTCAGCCCATTGAAGCAAATAACAATATTGTCTCCATTTCTATCTTCTAATGCCCCCAAACTTGACTACCTTTTATTCTTAGCACATCCACATTTATTTGTATAATATTTATATTTATGAGGTATAGTGAATTTTTTGAAATTGTAAAAATTGTCCATATTTATATTATAAAAACATCTAAGAACATTGAATTATATTTCTGAAAAAGATTTTTTTTTATTTCATTTTGAAAGATAATTTCACTGAGTTGAGAATTCTAGGTTGACAGTTTTTGGTTTCAATAGTTTAATTATGCTTACATTGTTTTCTGGTTTGCATTGTTTGAGTGAGAATTCTGCTACTTTCTTAATCATTGTTGCTCAATATGTAATGTGTCTTTTTTTTTCCCCTTGGCTACTTTTAAGATTTTCTTCTTATAATTTGTTTCAAGTTACTTGATTATGATGTGCTTTATATAGTTGTCTTATTGTTTCTTCTTCTTGGGCTTTGAGCTTCTTGGATCTGTGGGTTATAATTTGCATCAAATTTGGAAAATTGTAGGCCTTTTTTTTATCCAAATATGTCTCCTCTTCAGTTCTAATTATATGAATATTATGACTTCTGAAGATGTCTTACAGTTCACTGATGCTATTCATTGTTTTCATCTTTTGTGTTCTAGCTTTAAAAATTTCTACTGTTTTGTGTTCAAATTTAGTAATCTAGTCTAGAATGTCTGATCTGCTATTAATCCTGTCCTGTGTGTTTATCTTCAATATTGTATTTTCACCTCTAGATGTTCAGGTGGGGGCTTTAAATTTTCTTCCATGTCTTTCACTAACATGCTCATGCTTTCTCCATTACCTCTGAAATATGTGGAGTATATAATAACTCAATGCCCTTGCCTACTAATTCTATCTACTAATATGTCCTAGATCTTTTTATGTTGATTGATATTATGGGTCATATTTTACATGTCTGATAAATTTTGACTGGTAAACTATATTTACATTGTAGAAATTGTAAACTTCATTGTTTGGTGCTAGATTTCATTTTGTATTATTCCTTTAATTTTGTTTAAACTTCACTCTGGGACACAGATTACTTGAAAATCTTTATCTTTTCAAAGCTTGCATTTTTGCTTTATTACGTAGGACTTGAGCAGCCTTTTCTAATTTTTCCCTACTACTGAGGAAATAGTGTTCTAAATATTCAATCCAACATCCCATGTGTTTCTTCACTCTGGCTGTTGGCAGTGTGAGCTGTTCCCAGTTCTCTGTGGCTCTCGGAATTGTTCTCCTGGCTCCTTTCTGGTGGTTTTTCACCTGTCCTCAGACAGTTTCTTCATATACAGCTGAAGATTTAAGGGGAATCTTCCTACAGATCTTAGAAGTCTTTCTGCGGACTTCTTCCCTCCTATACTGAACCCGACGAATTCTGGCTGCCTTGGAGCTCATCTCTGAGCTCTGTCTCTTGATCAGTGAAACACCAGGCTCTCTCTAAGCAATATTGGGACAGGAGAAGGGCTCACCTCATTTGTTTCCCTTTCTTAGGGATTATTGCCCTATGCTGCCTGTTGTCCAGTGTCTGAAAACCATTTTTATTTGATTTCATATATTTTATTTGATTTCTCAGAAATGTAAAGCAAAAGGTTAAATCCAATCAAGGATAGGAATGGAAGTCCTGGCATGGAACTGTACGAAATAAGTCTTTTCCCTCACTTATGTTAGCCCATCAGCTCCCTCGCCTGCCCCCAATTCAAGGATAATTGGTGTATTCATCTTCACACCCTTTCAAAGCATGCAGATGTGCATGAGCACATACATGCAGATTGAGAGAGTTTTGAGTTTTGTTTTGAAATGGGAATGTGTGTACAACTCGTTTTTATAATATGTTGCTTTTAATAGTATGCCATATTTGTGTGTGCTAACAACCAATAAATTTAAGTTTCCTGAGAATGGAAACTTTGACTTCCATTTTCATTTTTGCCTCATGACACCTTGCAAACCTCCCTCTACATAGGAATTTATAATAGATGTTCATAGGTTAACTATAGTAAATCTTTTTTAAAAAATTGATTTCAGAGAAGAAGAGAGAGGGAGAGAGATAGAAATATCAATGATGAGAGAGAGTCATTGATCGGCTACTTCCTGCATGCCGCCCACCTGGGACCAAGCCCCCAACCCAGGCATGTGGCCTGACCAGGAATTGAACCATGACCTCCTAGTTCATAGGTCAGTGCTCAACCACTGAGCCATGCTGACCAGACTATAGCAAATCTATTTTACTTCAGTTTTGTTTTTGTTTTTGGTGTGTTTTTGTGGAGTTTGTTTTTTGTTTTTTAGGGAGAGTGGAAAGTGGAAGAGAAAGGGAAAGACAGAGAGAAACATTGATGAGAGAGAAACACATTGATTGGTTGCCTCCTACACAAGCCCTGACCAGGGCATGGGCCAGGAGGAGCCTGCAACCAAGGTATGTGCCCTTGACTGGAATCGAACCCGGGACCCCTTGGACCGCTGGCCGACACTCTATCCACTGTTATCCACTGTGCCAAACCAGCTAGGGCTTACTTAGTTTTTATAAAATCTATTTCCTTTAAATTTTTTTTTTTTTTAAGTGAGACTGCAGTATGGAGTAAAATCTCAGGGATATAGTTTTTATGTTTATTTATTGTTTGTTCCACTAATTCAATAAACTGTAAATAATATTGCCTTTATTTTATTTCAAAGTATATTTGAGGAAATAATGGAAGCTTACTAGTGTGGAGATTATTGTAATTTAAAAATAAACCTCTTAGAAAATGAAGGATATTAATACATCCTAGAAATTTGCAATCTAATGTCATGTGAATCAGCCAGGAAAAAAAATAGCTATAATATTTGGAAATGGCTTGATTGAGGAAGTAAACATTTACTTGCTCTTACCTTAACTAGTAAAAACAAACCACTTTGATTTTAGGCAGGTGCTCACTAATTGATGGTCTTTAGAAACTAACTATAGATGATTTGGCCTGAAGGAACAGGAGGGCTCTTTTTTGCTTAGTATAGCCCTGAGCATAAATCAGAAGACGCAGATTCAAGTCACTGCTCTATCACTGACTGGCCGTGGGATCCCATTCTGAGGTTCAGTTTCCTGGGTTCTGTCTGATCACAGGGTTGTCATGAAGAGCAACTGAGTTAATCCTATGAAATGCTTTGTAATTAAGAGCTTTTCCAGTGTAAGGTACTGTCATTTGCTTGAATAGTTGACGGAATGAGATATTACTTTAAAATCATATTTTTACCTAAGGGGTATATAATGCATATCGTTAAATTTGGTGATGATCGTTAAATTAGGCAAGTAACTGTCACTTTTCTGGCTCAAAGAGCAAGAAAACAGAATATGGGAACTGTGTTTATGTAGTTTATCCACTAGGTGGAGGTATATATCTGTTGTGTTAGTATATGCTCACTTTTAGTCTATTTATTGGGAGAAAAATTATGAAAAGTTCACAGTAAAGCATTTCCTCTAAGATCTCATATGTTCAGTTAGGCTTTATTTTGAAAATAAAGTCAACATATTTAAACAAATATGGAATGGTTGGTAGTTCCATAGGACTGGAGTTACTAATTTATTAATAACAATATACCATATTATTACAGTTGAAGCTCTCGTCTCAGATTGCCAAGTTAGCATTCTTATTATGTTTGCATCATCTTAAAATCATTTTTATATTTCATAGTGGTTTTTTTAATAAATTTTTGATGAAAAATGTGCAGCTTCTTAAAATAGAGACAGACTCTATAGAGAGCGGGCAGACAGTTCTGAGGAGTATGAAGGGGGGTGGAGGGGAATCGAGCAAAAAAGAGAGAGAGCTCATTGACATGAACAACAGTGTGGTGATTGGGTAGGGGGGATGGGAGAAGGTGGAAGAGGGCACAGAGGGGGTAAATGGTGATGGGAAAAATTAAATTATTTTTTTAAAAAAGAAAGAATGTGCAACATCTTAATAGTTTTCAAAATTGTGATTCATTTATTTTCTTAAAAATTAATTCTTATTGTCATACTTTGCAGATCTCATTTAAGGCCCAAACAAAAACATGTTTCAGTGGAGCAATTTAGCCCTGGCCTCTTTTGATGTAAAGTACCAATTTTTTGTTGTTTTTTAAAGATATTTCAAGGAAACAAAGATTATCACCAGGATGTGCGTAATAACTTTTTGCCACCAATTATTGCACGTTTTATTAGAGTGAATCCTACCCAATGGCAGCAGAAAATTGCCATGAAAGTGGAGCTGCTGGGATGCCAGTTTATTCTTAAAGGTAAAGCCACAGTATATTTCAGACATGGTATTTTCACTGGATTAATTAAAAATGCTAATTAACTGCTGCTCTCAGAGAAGGTAGTTAATAACAATGTGTTTAACCTTTAAATTATATTATCTTCTTAAAGGAATTTTTAAAAAGAAACAGTTATCATTTTAAAAAGTTACACATCAAAGTTATTTTCAAAATTACAAGTTGGATAGAGGGCATCATTCATGAGATGATATAATGAGATTGCTTTCCAAATCTATCCTCAATCTTAATTTTTTTTTTCTCAATCTTAATTTTTAATCAGGTCTCGTGTAATATAATATTCATATCACATAAACACTAATGATTGATTATAGTAGTAACTTCAGTCTAAGTGACTTTTACTTTGAATAAATTAAAAATGGGAGTAACTTCCTTCAATATTATATAATGTTTTAATACTTTGTTTACTATTGTAGCTCTAAGAACTACCACTGTGCCTAACACATAGGGGGCCCTCCATAAATATTTCTCAAATGAATTGTTGGGTAGTCTATCAAAATGCAATTAAATTTTTATAGCTTTAGAGTTCAACATTATTTGCCTCCCCATTATTTTCCTTCTTAAGAAGATTACTCTCAGACAGTTTATTTAAAAACTGAGAAATCCCAGTATATATGGGCTTTTAACACAGAATATATTTATCCTTCTGACATATTTCTCTGAGATTTAAAATTACTGTGCAGTATTAAGTATTCTAGGAAATGGTAAAGACATTTAAATTACTATTTTTAACTATGGTTTTTATAAGCAAAGCATGTAAACTTTTCTAAACCATTTTTCAAGGTCGTCCTCCAAAACTTACTCAACCTCCATCTCCTCGAAACAGCAATGACCTCAAAAACACTACAGCCCCTCCAAAAATAGCCAAAGGTATGCCTCATTTGAACGTGAAATGTTCATATTCCCTGGGTTTATCATATAATTTTCCATAAATATGTTAAAAAGCATTCTAGAATAACAATTTTAATCAAGTTGATGTAGATAAAAGAATAAAGTTTTTAAATCTTTTTTTAAAGGTCGTGGCCCCAAATTTACTCAACCACTACAACCTCGCAGTCGCAATGAATTTCCTGCACAGACAGAACAAACAACTGCCACTCCTGATATAAAAAACACTACCGTAACTCCAGATGTCACCAAAGGTGGGTGAACCCAACATTCACACCTGTTATGTAGTCGTGTTTTAATGTTTTCAACTTAAGTTTTCAAGAACATTTCTAGCTTTTAAACCTTTTCCTCAGACTTGTGTTTTTTAAGTATAGCAAAAAGATTGATTCCCTTCCTTGGGGAAAAAACTTACTGCTTTGCTCAAAGTTTTATTCTCTCGAGCCATGTAGAATTGTCTTTAAATATTTACAGATGGCTGCTGTATTCTAGGCCTCCTCTTGCAATTTTTGTCCCTATACAGCAAAACACATGGAGTCTCGTGCCTAGAAATATTTCCAAAAATAACTAAAAGCCTAGCAGAAAACTTTTTTTTCTTTATTATATATTAACTAGTGTCCCGGTGCACAAAATTCGTGCACATTAAAAGGGAATTAATTAGAGGCAATCTTTTAACACATTGTATGCGGGAAACGTATTTATACGTTTTACGTTGACTGTAAGTAGTAGAGCCACCTGTTACTACCCACAAACAATGTGTTTTAATATTGCTATTTGCCCTTTGCCAGGGGCATATTATGCTATTATTAGATTTGCTGGATAGGGAACTTTGTGGCAAAAAAAAAAAAGGGGGAAGATTAAAAAACAAGTTTTGGTGAAACTTTCGGTTAGGGTTAGGGTAATACTTTTTAAAAATACTCTTATTTAACATTCATAAAAAAGTGGTCTCTGTTCTTAAAATGTTTGCTATTATAATTTTTCAGATTATAAATATAGATGTATTAGTAGAATTTACTTTCAGATTTTATTAATGATAAGTAAGGTATTGACATATACAAAGCATAGTAGCTCTTTTATTTTATAGGTTGTCAAGAAACAAAATTTCAGTTGAATGCAGAAAACAAAGCCTCGGTGTTCTAGAGGAATTAGTTTCAGTGTTGGCAGACAAATAAAGCACACTTATTTTCAAGACAGCACAGAGAAGAGAAAGCAATTCATCCAGAGTAACTTGTGCCATATAGAACTTGAATCATTCTCATTTTCTGAAAATTTGTCTGGATTCATATAACTTTCTCCAACTTTCCAAGTGTCAGTTTCTTTCCTATCTTCCAAACAGACTGATTTCTTTCTCATGCCACAGGAAAATCTAGAGGGAAGCAAGAATTCTCAGAGTCAAGAGATCTTAGCATCCACAGAGTGCTTCTTACAGCTTGCAGAAGGCATGCAAGAATCTCAGGCCACTTCCTGGAGGGAGGAACAGTCATTTTTATTGTTCAAAATCTGATTATAGAACCTTAAAATCTCAAACTTAAAGTGTCCTTAAAGCATTATCTTCCAGAACTAGGATCCCTGTAAGATTAAAAAGAATAACGAAGAATGTGCAGGTTTTTTAAATTGAAGAGCTCTTGTCTCCTTTTCTCTGGGACAGTGATGTATAGACCAGGGGTGGGCAAACTTTTTGACTCGAGGGCCACAATGGGCTCTTAAACTGGACCGGAGGGCCGGAACAAAAGCATGGATGGAGTGTTTGTGTGAACTAATATAAATTCAAAGTAAACATCATTACATAAAAGGGTACGGTCTTTTTTTTTTTTTTTAGTTTTATTCATTTCAAACGGGCCGGATCCGGCCCGCGGGCCGTAGTTTGCCCACGGCTGCCCTAGCCCCATCCATCCAGCTTCTCAGAGGCCCCCTGTTATTGATCATCCTCTCCCTGTCCTGTTATCGTCAGCCTCTTTCTGTCTTGGATACAATTATAAATGCATAAGGCGTGGCACAGTGTCTGACACTCAGCCCCCTGGACATCAGCAGCTGTGCCATCCTCATGGCCAGGAGGGGTTGACAGATGAAGGAAGAAACTAATGTTGCAAATTACTTTAGGCAGCCCATTTTCTGGATCTGGGCTCAGGATTCTTTATCTGTGAAGTGAGATAAGGGGATTGAATGAGCTTCTCCTCCCTGTAGGATCCAGTACTGTGTCAGTTCCTGCCCTGTTGATACACACATTGGGTTTCTATACTTAACTCGACATTGTCACCTTTCTGTATCTATAAATATTGTGCCCTGGTGCTGCAACATTTCCATTTGTTGGGAATATTTTCCTGTAAGGATGTACTTACTCCTTTTCATTGTTGGGTATTTGGATTATTTCCAGAAACAAACTTCTTTAAAGACACATCCTTGAATGTCATCTTTATTTTTTCCTAAGAATAAATTCTAGATGTGGAATTGCTAAGTAATCATTGTTTATACATATTGCCCCAAAATGATACAGAAAGTATTATTTTATATTCCCATAAAAATAACTTTTTCCCAATATTCTCTTCAATAATGTTATTTTTAAGTAATTGCCAATTTGATAAGCAGAAATACGATCTTATTCTTGTTTCAACTTCCATTTCTCTGATTACTAGTGAGACTAACATGAATGGTCACTTGTTCTTTTACATGTATTGTTCATTCATCCCCGCCAACTTTTCTGTTCTTTGATTTTGACTTGTATATCCTGTCACATCTTAATTATAGTAACCCTTTATCGCATGCAGAACATATTGTCTCATTTTATCATTTGTCTTTCAATCATTGTCTTGGTGATTTAAGAAGTTACTATGGCCTGGCCAGAGTGGCTCAGTGGTTGAGCATTGACCCATGAACCCAGAGGTTGAAAGTTTGATTCCCTGTCAGGGCACATGCCCAGATTGCAGGCTCAGTTCCCAGTAGGGGCGGGCAGCTGATCGATGTTCTGCTCTCACATCCATATTTTTCTTTCTCCCTCTCCCTTCCTATCTCTATAAAAATCAAGTGACTATGAAATTTTTAAAACATACTATAAAGATGGATCAAATAATGTGATAAATTTTCACGCATCCATGAAAGCTCCTGAGGTTACCTACTCATGCCTAGTCTCATTTCATAAATAATGTTTATAGTATTTCTTGAGATAGAAACCTTTGAATGCTGATATGGTTCATTCTCACTGTTGCCAGTCATAATTTCTGCTTTTGGCCTATTTCAGATGTAGCCTTGGCCGCAGTGCTTGTTCCTGTGCTGGTCATGGTCCTCACCACTCTCATTCTCATATTAGTGTGTACTTGGCATAGGAGAAACAGGTCAGTATATAAGCAGTCAC